ACAATAAATGAACAGTAACTGATAAATGTAGTATAAACTATAAATCTTATAAGGAGTTGTTCAATTTGTTAAAATTTTGAGATTTTAATTTAAAAATTTTAAAGTTGAACCTTAAGTTTAATGGGAAGGATTTGAAAGAGTAAAAAATTATTTTTTTTCGTATAACTGATCATCAAATATATATAATAAAAAAAATATAATATAAATGCCATCAACGTAACAAAAATAATAATATATATTGATTAGAAAGATATTAATTAATAGAATATAAAAAGTAAAGGATAATTGGAAGTGGATACACAGCCACGACGGAGAATACTCAACAGCAACAGCCTACGCACTATTAACAAAACAGAGGAGGAAGCAGAATTGCACAAAAGAATATGGAACCCTTGCTTTCCATCTAAAGTGGCGGCTTTCAACCGGAAGGTATTACTTGATAGAATTCCCACTAAGCTTAATTTGTTGAAACGTGGGGTCATAAAGGAGGAGGAGGAAAGGAATTGTGTTCTGTGTGAAGAGGAAGAGGAGGATTCCAGCCACCTATTCTTGAAATGCAAAATTGTCAAATGGCTATGGAAAGCTTGCGCAATCTGGTGGGGCATCAAGGTAGAATTACAAAATGAGTGCAAGAAGACATTTCAGCTCTTTGGCGCTTGGACCAAAAAGTCTCATAAAAGAGAAGGGTGGGACTGTATTTGGAATGCAGTTATTTGGTCAGTGTGGATGGCACGAAACAAAAAGATCTTTGACAATGTAGAGGTAAACTTGATCAAACTTTTTGAACTTATTCAATTACGATCATTTACTTGGATTAAAGTTAGGAAAGGCAAGTGTTATTTCAATCTATCAGACTGGTTAATTAACCCTGCCTCATGCCTTTCTAGTGTGAAGTAGGAGGGGTTTGAAAGATGGTAGTAACACTAATAGTGCTTATTTCTGCAATCTAAGAGGATCGGTTGATGATTATGTAAAAGGGTTTGAGTACCCCTTGTACTCAGGATAGTAATATATCTTTTGCTGTTCAAAAAAAAAGAATATAAAAAGTAAAGGGAAATTAATGAGGAATTAAAATTCACTAATACACAATTTTTAATCATTTTATTTATGTAAAATTTTAACTATTTATCTCTTTATTATATAATTTAGATTTAATGTTACTTTTTAGATAAAAAAATTATTATTTATAAAAAATAAAATAAATAATAAATAAATCTCAATTATTTATATTATAAAGATAAATAATTAAAATCTTGTATAAATAATATGTATAAATAAATCTTAACTTATTAACGAGAGTAAACACTAGATGAAAAAAATGATAATAAACAATTTTTCATTCGATTAAATATTCATTTTCCTTGTATTCCATATTATATTTTTTCCTTATCTTAGTCATTATCACCAAGAATAATCTTCACTAATTAAAAAACAAAGACACTAGAAAAGATTAAAATAGTATATGGAACAAGGAACTTATAAATGAAAATATAAGCCAATTACTTAAATAGCTTAGGTTTTAGTGGTAATTTTTTTTTCGATAAAAGCAAAAAATTTTAAGTTTGGGATGCATTAAAGGATGGAAAAAAGTTGTTTCTCATTATGCAACTCATGATAAAAATAATAATAATAAAAATAATAGTACATGAAAATGATAAAAATAGGTTTTAATAGACCAAATTAATTTTTCCTCAAGAGTTTAGGGGGCCTAGAACCGCCTGTGAACACTCATGCCAAACAATTAACAATGTCCAAACAGCTAGGGAAAATAGTGATGCAAATTGTTTGTTTGCTTTAGGAGCTCAATGACACCTCTTGGTGTGATAATCCAACTTTTTAAAATCCCTCCGCTAATTGCAAGACTGATACGATGCTTAGGCTATTTTTCAATTAAATGTTTGGGAAAGAAGGATTCAAAACATTCTGCAAATCCCTTTTTCTGCTCTCATTCTTCTAACTTTATCCAAAAATCCAAGTCTGAGCAGCTAAATATCTTAGAACTTGTTTTTGTTTAATTATTGCTTCTGCAAAAGTACCACAATACATCATAAATACTTCTAAAATTGTATTAATTCTTTTAAAATTAATAACATTAGTTCAGCGACAGATCTCTGCTTTAAAACTTAAGAATTGGCAGTTCTACACTTCATTTGTCCATGCTTCTTACATATCTTCTTTACAAAACACCTTATTTTAAAATATAAAATTTTAAATTTTAATTAATTTTAATTAAAATCTTATATACATTTTCATTAATTTTAACAGAAAAGTGTTTGTCACTCAGATTTTTAAAAAATTAAAAGAACTCAAAATGAGATTATTTCAATAAACTCTCATCATAAGAACTACATAATCTTTTCACTTTGAGATATTTTTCCTTTTAATTTTTTTGAGATCCGAATCTCTAATCTCCAATTTTTAAATAATCTACTTTTAAAACATGAATGAGTTTGTTTTGATCTTTTCACACGCTAATTTAATAAAATAATATAGTTTTAAAATACTTTTCTTTATAATTTTTTTAGGTCCGACACACTAATCTCTAGTTTTAATTATCATTTATATTTTTTAGATGGTAAAAGGGTTAAAAAAAAAAATAACTTATAGATACAATAGACAGACAAAGCTTTGGTATCTAACAATTTAAAACTAAAAATGGATTTTAAAGAAGCCAAAAGTATTCTTAAGAAAACTATATTTGATCCAATTTCAATTTTTACAACATAGAAGGTCTTAGCAAAAACAAGAATACATTAGATAAAAAAAGGAAGACTAAACAGACACTATATATTTCCTTCACCAGAAAGCAATACCAAGAGAAAACTAAAGCCCGTTAACTAAAAAGGCCAACAAGTCAAAACCCACAATCTGGAAATGGTATTAGGCAACAAGAACTGAATCTATTATCTAATCTGCCATTTCGGGAAAAGCCAATGATAATGCATGAATATAAAAAAAAGGGATGTAAAGACCTTGCAGATTGCGTCATCCCAGAAAAATTTGCATCACTACACATTCCAAGTGCCCATGAAGGTGATCTTTGCCCCATGTTGATTCAGAAAACATGGCATTATGTTCTGTGTTGTTCCTTGCCAATAAAAGAAGCTAGTGCTCCTAATCCTATATGTCGACCATTTATGAAGAGAGGCAAATTCATCATTGTCCCTAAACAAATCCAGATACATTCTGAAAATTGAAAAATAACACAACTTGAAATGAATGCATATAACAGCTAAGCTAGCTACTACAGAACTTTGATAAATTATTTCCACTGAGCATCATTCATATTCTAAAATGCAACTTTTAGCAAGCAACTTTTTAGTTCATAATTTCATATCAACTATAAAAGGTTTGACAGAAATCTAATACCTTTGATTGGCAAGCAAATAACAAAACACAACCATTGATCAAATAATATAAAACTGAATCAGCAGTTGAAGTTAATAAAAAGGTAAAATCCACTTCTAATCTACAGATACACCAAATGACTGTCAAGATTTAACAAAGTTAAATATCCCTTATCTTAATTTTTTTGAAAAAAAATTACACATCACCTATCTGTGTAAAGGGAGATCCTCATTATAAGATTCATAACACAAGCTGCAAGATAGAGCAGCATGTCCAAATTCAACTATCATTCAACAATCAAAAATGGCAAATGCTATGTTCAAAAACAGGAATACCTAATTAGCAAATAGCAAAAAGGGAATTTCTCAATGTCTCAGACATCCAAGGAGGGATTGAAGCAGCACAAGCTCTCAAGCCTGGCAAAGGCGAAAGCTCCTAGGCGGCCACTGCAAATGTTTTGAGAAACAAGCCTTTGGATTTGTCAATCATTGACAACAGCAGCATCACATTTATAGAAATCAAAGGTTCAAACAGAGTAAAACAAACAAAACAATTCAACTAAACAAAAATTGCCCTAGAAAAAAATGAATTGTTGGAGGATTGAGGTCTCAGACATCCAAGGAAGAATTGAAGCAGCACAAGCTCTCAAGCCTGGTGAAGGCGAAAGTTCTTAGGCGGCCACTGTGAATGTATTGAGAAACAAGCCTTTGAATTTGTCATCATTGACAACAGCAGCATAAGTGATTCAAACGGAGTAAAACACAAAAACAATTCAAGGAAACAAGAATTGCCCCCCAAAAAAAAAAAAAAATTATTGGAGGATTAAGGTCTCAGACATCCAAGGAAGGATTGAAGCAGCAAAAGCTCTCAAGCCCGGCGAAGGCGAAAGCTCTTAGGCGGCCACTGCGAATGTTTTGAGAAACAAGCCGTACAAGGTTTCCATCATTGACCTTTACACATAATTAGAAAATCCAAATACATAACATCAAAGCAAAATGCATATAACCTGTAATATGAATGTAATTTCTTCAACAATACAATTAATTCAATCAGACAGTAAATAATCAGCTGAAGAACAAACAAAACAACAGCCAACAAAAATCCAACTCGCAAGCAAATCAAAATATATAAATTACTTGGAATTAAGGCCTCAGACATCCAAGGAAGGATTGAAGCGCCAAAAAGAAGGTGATTGGGACAAAATGGACGCGAGGGGAGTGCTTATAAATATAGCTGAAGGGGATGGCTTAGGGTTTTAGGATTAAGGTTAGGGTTTCTGAATAAACGGCGTTAATTTAGTGTCTGAAGATGTCGATGGAAGTGGTAACATCTGGAATCTGAAGATGGCAGTGGCGTGGACGGAGTAGCCCATGTGAGCTAGGCTCATTCCAATGCTCGTTTTGGGCTTATGTACTTGAATTGAAAGAAAAAAATTTTAAAGGTCTGTTTCCTGAGAATGATTTTTTTAGACTAGATTACCCAATTAGTGACTTGTGTGCAGTTTATCTTATAAAAAATATTAAGCGACCCTTATTGAATTAAAGTCATGTAGGATATGTAATACTTCTCTCATTTTTCTTTTGAACATGGGAAAATTTTGGGGAATAGAGAATATTTTTCAAATAGTTACTGGAAGTTAATTTACTAAATAACTAAACCTAAATATTAAGGTTTGAAGATGAATTATTGAGCTTAAAAGGCTGGCTCAAAATACTTCTCAAATTTAGAATGAACCAATAGTAAAAAAATTATTAAATAAAAAACTTATTTTTAATATAAAAATTTTATTTTTTATTTAATAATTTATGTTATATAGTAGAATATAATTTGTAGTCTAATTTTTTTTATAACTTTAAGGACGTGATATCTAGGATCTAGCCCAATTTCTTCTTAAGTACTTAGATGGGCCATTGAAGTACAAAGATGAACGGGCATGTGAGGTAAGGGCAAGGCTGTGCCAAAAATGGATCAGCCTACTTTTCTTCAGTTGATATGATTTGCATATAAAAAATATATATATTATTAATAACATGTTCAGTTTGGTTTGAGTTTGAAATTTAAAAAATTAAACTAAACTTGAACAAAAGAATATGTATTCATGATATTAAAATATTAAATAAATACAAAAAATACATAAATTTTTAAAAATATTGGAAATTAAGGCCTCGTGTATTTGATTGTACAATATATATATATATATATTTATAAAATCTTTTTAGGGATGAATTAAACCAAAAATTTTGAGATTTGGTTTCAATTTCAACTCCAAACCGAAAACGAACAAAGAAATGAACACCCATGCTGTGTGAATATTGTTACTGTGTGGCTTAACAGTCCACATCCAAAACTTATGCTCGGTCATATTCTAAGTTGAGGATTCAAACTTAAGCAATTCCCTCGTTTGCCTTTTCTTTTGGGTAAATGGTAATGGAAAGCGAAAATGTTAACCTTTCAACACATTATAAATTTATAATGATAATAGGTTATTATATAATTGATTCATTGTATTTGAGTATTTATTAATTTATAATTATGAATTATTTTTATATAATTAATTCCTTTTATTTGATGGTTAATTTGTAAAGGTAATGAATGACAAATGGATTATTTATTTGTACAATTTTTATTTAAAATTTTTATATATCATTAAATTAGTAAATACATATAATATCATAAATTTTAATACAATAAAAAATTCAATAAAAAATTAATAATTAAATAACATGTAAAATTATATACAAAAATTGTATTATGAAAGTTATCCCTTTAATAATTTTCATCCTTAAAGTAATATGCTTCATTTATTCAATATCATACTATTAAAATAAGTCTATAATCTTACATGACATTATAAATATATTTTTTTAATAAAAAGTTATTATTTCCATCAATTCAAATTCTAAATATTTAATAAGAAAATAAGTTATTATTCAACAAATAAAGGTAATGGAACAAATGCAAAAAAAATCATTATATGTGGGGACTTAGTGTTATTTTCTCCTCTATTATAATGGATATGAAGACTAAACAATCTAATTTTAACAACATATTTATCATATAAAGAGACATTTTGCCAAATAGAGTCCAACTTTTCAAAGACTACAATGAAAAAAAACAAAACCTATGCAAAATCTAAAACCAGGCCTCATATTCAATAATGTCCACTTTCCAATCCTGCTCGAGATCAATGACTTCATCGCCATTGGAGTCCGTGTGCCATGTAAACAGACAATTCAAGAATCAATCAAGATACTCAAATCTTTGGAGTTTGGACACAATGGAAGAAAATTGAATAGAATAGATATGAAATTTCAAATAATTTTTTCCAGAATCGAGGGTTCCATATATCAGGCAGTTAAAAGGTGTCGAAGATATTCTTGTTTGTTTGTTTGTTTGTTTGGTTTTTTTTTTTTTTTTTTAACTTTTGCTATGGATGGTAGGTCCCATGAATTTAAATAGCCACCATTTAACAGGCAGGATGCTGAGACGACGTTAAAATTAGTCCAGCTTAAAATTTTTTTTCTTCTGTCTAGTTGTCATGTCATTAAAATTTAAAAGAAAAAAAGAAAAAAAGAAAAAGGCCTGTTGATCTAACGAGCTATTGGATGTTAGGGTTGATGAGAGGATAAATTCGGTGCAGAATTTTTTGGTTGAGGGACAAAAAAAAAAAAGTGAAAAATGCAGTTAAGGGACAAAATTAGTGCAAAATACTAAAGTTAAAGGGGGCAAAAAGGGATTACACCTTTTAAAATATACATCTTTGCTGGTCCAACAAGCTGCCACAAAACCAACATTGTTTCTCTTTACCTTCCATTTTGTTTTGACTGACACTGTGAGACACCCCAACCTTTATCTTTTTGGTATGAGTATGACTCAACTTTAGATTTCCATCTAGGAATTTAACACCTTCATGCATTTGTTCCGAAAATACCCCCAGTAAAAACACCAAATGTGCTCAATGACTAGGTTATTTTGGTCATTTAAGCAGCATTCCAAACAACATATTTTGGTCGGACCCAATGTGCCCAATATCAACGGGATATTAATCCTTTTAGTAAAACCCCAAAACATTCCTTGCTCTACTTATAAAGCTAAAGCAGTCCAAAACTCACAAACCCCACCATTCTTTCCAGCTCATTTTGAACTGCCCTTCTCCCTCCCTCAATCTTCCTCAAAAGCAATGCAAAATGCACCACCACAAGTTTCATATATTCCTTTCTTTACCCCGCTCAAAGCAATAGGGAAGAGAAAAAAGGCAGTCTAGCAATGGCCAAGCGAGTGTACCAAGTTTGGAAGGGAAAAAATGTATGATTTGCATCCCTGTTTTCTTGTTGTTCTTTTACGCTGTAATTGAGTGTTTTTATTTGGGTTTTACTTGTTTTGGTGTTTAGAGTGTGGTTAGTTTCAGTTAAGTCCTTGGGAATTTGGAAATGGGTTTTGATGGGTGTTTAGTTTCTGCTCATGCTTAATGTGGTTATTACTGAATTCTGGTTTAGAGAGTGACTCGAAATTAGCACTGGCAAGATTTCATTGATGAAAATTCCAGCATAATTTAGAGGTTGATTACATGGATTCCACCTTCTTCTTCTTTTTTTATCAGTTTTTAGCAGGTTAGTTTATAAAGTGAAAGAGTTGACAAAATGTTATGTAATTGACCACCCATTTGATGCAATATAAGGGTGAATGGAGAACAATCTCACTGCATGTAGTAGTAGAGTTAGCATAAACATCAAGTGATGGTAAAATTAGCATATAAACATTGTATGGTGAGAAGCAGTCAATTTTATTTTGTTTAATTTTCAAGTACTGAAATTATGCTCCTACTGATGAGAATTCAAATACCATGCAAAAGAAGATATTTTAGATTAAATAAAAGTTGCCCCTTGATTGGAGGTAAATGTATGCACAGATGTTCTGTTTGTGTGCCCCTGTATGTACACTAATATGCATAATTATTGTATTTATAGTAAACTTATATGCTAAATGGAATGAAACTTATAGATATTCATATTCAGTGTAATTATAGTCCCAAATGTATTATGTTCATGCATGTTCATATATGAACATACAAACATACATACATATATGCAAAAGTTTGCATATTATGTTTATTAATTTGTCAATAACAGTCTTTCTTGTCAACTTTTCTTGTATATGTCTCTTACATTGGATCTCTTCTGCAGATATTCATCTTCAATGGGCGGCTTGTGTTTGGTCCAGATGCTAGGTCACTGATTGTTACCTTATCGCTTATCATTGTTCCCATTGTTATCTTTTGTACAAATGTCGCAAGGAACCTCCTCCATGAATTGTCAGCAAATATTGAAGGCTATGCAATTCTAGTGGTGGCAGTTGTTTTGACAATCTATGTTAGTTCCTATAGTTCATTTAGTAAAGCCTTTGGTGCTTTGTTGGACATCATTTACACCTTGCAAATTAATTCTGTTGCAAAATTAACACTTTTAGTATCTCTTCCCTCTTTCTCATAGAAAGAGAAATCTTGCTTGTTATGCCTCTAAGATTTCCTACCAGCTCACTCAATTTCAGAAATTCAGATTGCCTCTCACTTTTGATACTGCCATTTCAGAGCCATGGATCTTCAAACTCAGCATATCATTCCTCTGTATTGATATGCATATTTATTCGTATATCCATGCTTGGACTACAATCACTGTTTTTCTGTTTCATTTCTCTCTGCTTGCATTTTACATGAAAGTTTAGTGACCTGACAGTTGTAAATTCCTTGGTTATGACAGGTATTGGTGCTTCTGTTTCTTACTTCATCCAGAGACCCAGGTTTTGTTCCCCGTAATTCACAACCTCCTGATGAAGAGATAGGCTATGACTCTTCAACTTCAATTGAGGTTGGTGGAAGACAAACTCCAGCTCGACGATTGCCCCGCACAAGAGAAGTTATTGTCAATGGAGTGACTATAAGGGTGAAGTATTGTGAGACCTGCATGCTTTATCGTCCACCACGTTGCTCACATTGTACTACATGTAATAATTGTGTGGAGCGATTTGATCATCATTGCCCTTGGGTGGGCCAATGCATTGGAATGGTGAGTGGCTCCGGGTTTCTTCTTGCAGTTCAGGTAATAGTTTGCGTTGTTGGATGCGATTTTGAAATTATTTAACACTTCTCCATGTTCTTTTGCATGCAGCGCAACTACCGTTACTTCTTTATGTTTATTTCCTCCTCAACAGTTCTCTGCATCTTTGTCATTGCAATGTCAGCTTTGAACATAAAATTTCTTATGGATGATTATGGAAGTATCTGGAAAGCAATGAAAGAGTCTCCAGTTTCAATGATATTGATGGCTTATTGCTTCATTTTCCTCTGGTTCGTAGGTGGTCTTACCTGCTTCCACTTGTTTCTTATAGGCATAAACCAGGTCAGTTTCTTTCCTTCTATCTAGTTTCTGCAATGGAGAATACTGTTATCTCATGCAAGCATGTATAGTTCCAGCATGCTGCCTTTGAATGCTTGTTATTTTTTAACTGAACTAATTTCTGAAGCCATGCTCCAAATATTTTTCCCTTTCAACTGTTCAGCAGAAGGCATAGATTGTGGTAATGCGTTAAATGTGCATTGTGCAGAATGTCATTGAATTTAACACACTGTTCTTATAATCATTTAGATATTTTGTTTCTTTATCATTTTTCTCTCTTCCAAGGTTAACGTCTGAGAGGTCAAATTCTCTTCAGAGAGTTAAGAATATTTAAGAACTGAAATTTCATTTAACTCATCTGAACCTGAATCCAAAATCAGGATTTCTTTCCTTCGTTTTGCTTGATGAAGTGCTATCTTCTCTTGAATATCAAAAAACTCCATGTTCTCCCTTAATTAACCTATGTGTATAATTTCTGACCTTTTTTACATAACTTGTTCCTTCACTTGAATCAATTTTTACTCACCTGAATGTCTCTCATTCTTTATGGCATCTATGTTCCTTAACCTGAACCTCTTGCTCTATGCAACTCACCTTTTTCTTCATTAGTCCTCAAGGATATTGATATTATTTCTACCATTTGAGAGTAACTTCGATCTGTTGTATTTTTTTTTAATATAAGAAATGATAACACATCCATCACACATCCTTATCCAGTAAAACATCATTCTTGAGGATGTGTCATGTTATTATTACCCACATTGCGGGCCTTAATGTATATTTTCTTCCAATTGTTTAAAGCTTACTAATTCTGCAATACTTTCTTCAGACCACATATGAGAGATGTCGCTACAGAGGAGTTGATAGGCCCTACAACCAAGGCTGCTTGAAAAACTTTACAGAAATATTCTGCACCAAGATAAAGCCTTCAAGGAACAACTTCCGCGCTCACGTAAACGAAAATGAACGGAGGCCTAGCTTTGGCCTAACCTCTGATGGTGAACTAGCTCAATTAAGTGACTTGTATGGGAGCCGAAGAGAGAAAGTAGAAGATGATCGAGAAATTGGTGGCAACCTTCTCAAGATATCCCAACGCCCTGAGGTTGAAGATGTTTAGGAATCAGTGGAGCAGGTGATGGTAAAGTCCTTCCAAGCCTGAGTTTGATTTGAGTAACCTCATGATGCAGATACTCATGAGTAAACACACCACACACTACAAGTTGGGTTAAGATCTGGGATCCAAGAGATGAACAAATCTTCCTTACCCATATACCCTTATCCAAAAGGCACAGCAGCACAAATAGTTCAAGAATTTGGAAAGAAAGTTAATTCAATGTTCATTATAGTTGATTTTTGTTTACAGGGTATGACACTGATTGCCATCTGGATATACTTAATGTACCTTTTAAAGGCCTTTTTTGTACTTTGCTTGATTTCCACTTCATCTCCTGAGAAAAGCCTGTTTTGTTGGAAAACATGTTCTTTTGCCTTACAGCTATTGAATCACAGTTTTCTTATGGTCTTAGGTAGTATGAACCCGGTTACTTGATTATTTTGTATAAACCATCACTTCTTAAGGTTTTTTTATTTTTATTTTTTGG